AGTGGCTCTAACCCTCCGCGGTAGCTTCCCTCTCAGTGAGCGGGTCAGTGAACGCAGCACGCACAGTATGGCGGCCGGGACTCTCGCAGCAGCACAACTTCCAGAAACCTTCCAGAAACCTGCAGCGCGACGACTCTAACTCCCGGAACCAGAACCTCCTGCTCTCCCCGGGAACATCATCTAACCCGCTGTGATGCGTGAGGACCCGCAGTCCACAAACCGCCCCTGATCTCTCCGCCTGTCTCTGCCCCCCCTCCCGGACTGACTGACTTGGGTAAAACGACTTTTCTCATGGGGTGGACGAAGTATCCGCTTAATATGTTTGTGTTATTTATTTCCTTAATATCCCGTATTGGAACGGATTTTTGAAGATGGTCAGTTGTTTTGTATTATCACCAGAGTCTGTGTTGCTCCTTTTGTTTGTTGTGTTGCCAGTTGGATTCTACTTAAACATTAAGAACCGAGTCACTGACTGGCTCTAAATAATTTGCAGTACTGAAGCAGCAATCATTAAAAGATCTTCTTAGTGTTGAATGAAATTTGAAAGGCCTCAAACTTTCTGCAGCTTCTTTTGGATAAGAGTTTTTGTTTCAGATGTAGAACGCTTAAAGAACATTGAGCAGATCGACCGATAGTTTAACGGTCTTTTAATGAATTGTCAATATTTTAATAAAGGTCGGTTAAACGTGGGTGCCCTGTGACTGAACGACCCAAACATGACCCTCAGCGTGGTTACGTCCAGCTGGAGAGCTTTGTTGATTATCATATGCCCTTCTCCCCTTTCATTCCTGCCATCATACTGTCAGCTGTGTATACAGCGACAGTCCCTCCCGGTATTTTATAATGTAATAGTACAGAGTGAAAACCAATAAAAAACAACCAAAACAACAAAATAGTAAAACTCATTTTTAAATTTGGGGTTAAAAAAATAAAAATATAATAATACATTTTATTTATACATTGCCTTTTCATCAGAGCGATCTCAAAGTCTCTACAGTTAGAAACAAAAGAGTTTAAAAAAAATA